ATCTCGAACTGAGACAAGAACTTTATCCAATGTTGGAAATTCTTGTCTAAAGAAGAATTCATGCACTTTCCGTCGAAGTCATTCTTTAAAATGATATTCTATTTGAAATTTTGGTTTCCCTGGAGCATTACGTGGCATTTGAAAACTACCACATTTCTCTTCTTTAATAACTTTGTAAATCGTAGATTTCCCAACACCAAGTGTACTGCTAACTAACTCAACGGTCTCATCAACACTTTCACATAAACGTTTGTCTGTAAATGATTTAAAACAATTAAATATTAATGTTTTTTCATTAACTGTTAAATGACCAATTTTTCGGCGTTTACACGGCACTTCCAAATTTTCCATAACACTAGTATACACAATAAACTGCACCTTGCAACTGAAGTACCTACTTTTAGTGAACTGTTAAGAATTTTGAATACGCCACTTGGACCTTCCTACAAAATGGAAAAACCCACTATCACATTTTCTGTGGAATAAGTTTAGAAGGTAATTATCTAGTCAATTACTGTCGTAGATTCCTGGAATTAAAGAATTAAATGTTTGATTGTTGAAACCCTTACTTCGTGGAATGCACTCATTTTAGATAAAATAAAACGTTTTATTTTATCTAAAGAATTAAACTTTATTTTGCAAATAGGTAGGTACTTATTAAACTTTTATTGGTTATATATAACCAATAAAATAAACATCTTACATTTCTTGCAAATTCATTAGTACCTGTTAACCTCCATCACTCCGACACTGGCAACCTTATTTAGGGATTAGTAACCCTCACAACTATTGTATTCTATTCTGCTCCAACCTTTATACCTGGTGGTCATACTCAATTTAAAATTGTTTTAATATATACTTCTGTAAACTTGTTGACAAATATCTGTTTTTCATTGAGTCACCCGTATCAACAGTTTAGGGATTTGCATACATAATTTATTGTTTTATTACTCTCTCATACATAAAAATACACTATAGTTTACTCCAGATCAATTAACCACAAATATTCTTTCTTTTTTGTTTCTTTAAAAATGAGACATGACAAGGAATAACTGTTACTGGTGCTCGATATTGTAACATGATAACAGCGCTATTTCTGTCTAAATTGGATCATATTAACCTGGGACCGCCCTTGGGGTCCACATGGGTACGCTATATTTTCAGGCCTCTCACATTTTATCGTTTTTAAATGGAGAGAATATCAGTGTATTGGCACGTTTCTAGGAAGTGTAAATTCTTGTTAGTATTGAAATTATTTCAGTAAAGTGAACGTGTACGTTTTATTTCAATTGTTAAAATGGATGACCTTATCGATGTTCAAGCACTAAATGATATTTTGAGATAGGCTCTGAGTTATTACTTTAACTTTGTTTCATTACGTTACTAACAGCTAAAAGTTTATAAGAATATACAGTTTGATGAATTTATGTTTGTGCAAGTTGCATTTATTTGAAACTTTTTCATGCCGTACCCATATGAACCCCGTGGGCACCTAAACTTTTTTTTGTTTCAGTCCTGGATTTTCGCTACAGGAAGCAATAGAGCTTATTTTAAAAAATGATGATAATATAGCCCTAGAAAAAATCTTTGTTAAACCTCCACCAAGTAATGTACTTACTGATGAAGAATCTTGAGAAGAGGATGAAGGCGGAACTTTTCTAAATTTACCTGGCAAGCAACTCTTACATCTGTAGAGCTCGTTTTTGCGAACGGTCGCATTGGTGGTAGTTCAGATGATGCTATTCAAGAACTTTCAACCATGTTTCTCATCAGTTTACACCAGGCCCCAGTAGCTCTTTAGTTATAAACGACAATACTAATAATTATTCAGAACAACGAAATGTAAATGAAATTCCAGAATGTATTGGTTCTTGGTTGGACTATCAAACAGATAATGTACAAAACGTAGAATATATTGAAGGTGATATATATTGAAATATGTAAAAGGAGATTTTCCTACATCGAGTTATGTAGGAAAAACTTTTATGCAGGAACTTTTCAAAACTAAAATCCCCATCGAAGTATTTGAATTGTTTTTTACCAATGAAATTATTAAACACTTGGCTCAGGAAACTACTGAATATACAGCTTTTAAAAACTAAGAGAATCTAAATATTACCGATGATGAAATAAAATGCTTCATAGGAATCCTTATTTTGAGTGGTTACAATTCAGTCCCATCTAAACGTCTCTATTGGGAGAAGTCCGAAGATATTAGAAATGAGTTGGTATTGAGAGCTATGAGAAGAAATAGATTCCTGTCCATCATGTAGTTCATTCACTGTTCTGACAACACTAAACTGGTTATGACCGACAAGTTTGCGAAAATTAGACCTCAATGAATATGATAAAAAAAGGTTCCTGGAACTTTTTGTGCCGGAAGAAAATTTAAACTTCGACGAAAGTATGATAAAGTATTTTGGAAAACATAGCGTTAAACAGTTCATTAAAGGAAAACAGATCCGGTTTGGCTATAAGGCTTGGTGTATTAACACAAAAGAAGGTTATTGTGTGACATTTAATATGTATCAAGGAAAAAATGCTACAATTCCTGATGCTTATAGCACAAGTTTTGGAAAGGCTGCTTCTCCCTTTGTTCAACTTTTAAGCAAATTTCTTGCACAAAAAAGGAAGTTACGATATCATTTTTACTTTGACAATCTCTTTACTTCAGTAAATTTATTCAACTTTCTTAGATTCAGAGGCTACCACGCTATTGGAACAATGAGAAGTAACAGAATTCCTAAACTAGAAGTAAGAAAATCGAGTGCTCCTGTTAAAAAATCGAAGCACATGGTTAAAGAAAGAGGAAACAAACAAAAACGAAATCAAAAGTTAAAAAAATCTTTCCACAGGTACTTGATCCACAATTATTAAAAACCAGAGGATATTTCTGTAGCGACATAGAAAAAAAATCAGGTATATTTTTTGTTAGATGGAAACACAACGACGTTGTGTCAGTAGTTTCAACATGTTATGGTCTTCAACCTGTACGCCCTGTAAAGAGATATTCTAAGGAGCAACATAAAAATATTCAAGTACCACAGCCGTTTGTGATAGGAAAATATAATGAGTATATGGGGAGAACAGACCAAATTGACCGAAATTTAACTGAGTATAGGATAAACATACGAGGAAAAAAGTGGTGGTGGAATCCATTTACATATCTTATTGATTTGTGTGTCGTTAATGCTTGGTTAATGTATCACCATCAAGACCCAAAAATGTCCCAGATAACATTTAGGTGCACTTTAGTACAAGGATATTTGACAAAATACCAAACTATTACTTTACGACCAGGACCAAATCTAATCCCCCAAGCTAACTCGAGAAAAGTAATACCAGACATACGATACGATAACATTGGACATTTGGTAGATTCTACTAAAGATGGTAAAAGACGAAGATGTGGGTTAGAAAGTTGTAAAAGTAAAGTGAAAACAATATGCATCAAATGTAATGTTGGATTATGTGTACCATGTTTTGTAACCTATCACACTAAAAATGAATTTAGTCTTTATACTTAGTTTGTACTTTTTTATTTAAAGGTTTTTTAATTAAATAAAAATCATTAATTCTTTGTCGTATTTGTTCTGTGATTTGATAGGTTTATTCTTTTAATGCCCACGGGGTCTATATGGATACGGGGTAAATTCAATATTTAGCATTGTGAATATTTTTTTTCTAGTGTTTTCTAAACCATTTTTAGTGGTTTTTGAAAAAAAAAAAGCAAACATACCCAAAAAAAAATAATTAAGGGCGTTATCGTGTTAATGTGTACGACATGTGTGGTTTCAACAAGACGGTGACACATTCCATACAACCCGTGAAACCATTAAACTACTGCATAAGGCATTTCCTAGTCATGAAATCTGTCGTTTCGGTGATTAGAATTCGCCCCCTAGATCGTTTGATGTAACACCATTGGATATCCTTGTATCGGGTTATTTAAATTACAAGGTCTATGCTAGCAAGCCTACAACACCCCGTGCATTGAAGGACGAAATTCAACGCTCAATCTATGCAAAATAGTCAGAAAATTTCGACATATGCCAGGAAATCCGTGGATGTCATTTACCTATTGTGCTATTCCATACATAAGAGTGTATGCCAAACAATATAAAAAAATGTTGGAAAAAAGTTAAAATGAAATAAAAAAAATTGATTAGGGCAATATGTTTAAAAAAAAAATCGTTAAATAAATTCAACTACTTTTTGATGGGGTGACAGCTTGAGCTTTATTATGAGGCGTTTGCGAACGTTATTTTGAAAAAAAAACCCGATTGAAATATTTTGTTCCAACGAAACCAAGAATTTCATTTTGTTTAAAACTCATTTTGGCAATAAAAATGGTTGCCTATTTTTTCAGGCACAGCGGTGATACGTTTATTTAAATGTTTTACAGGTATGTCATTTTCTCTCTACATGCTATATCTTCTACTTATCATCCCTCATATTATATTGTACCGTTTTTAAATAAAACGAGCGGTTCTAATTTATATAAATATATTTATTTATAACTTTACAGTTCGGTACTATCTTATCAACTAAACTTAACTCCTAATTTCGTTACATATATATACCAAAGTTACTATGTTCGAGAATATTCAGGAGTAGTCCCATCTCTAATTCGTTATCTGACGACGGGTGGAATTTTACAGCGCTCGATATATGGCCGGTAACTTCTCAATCCTTCGAGACTCGAGATGCATCCGTTACATGGGCATGCCGAAAGCATGTTCGTAACAATATCTATTCCTCATATTATATCTAATATCATTAATGTTAATGCAATAGATGCATAATTTTTGCTCAAAAATGTAAGTTTTTGTTTTTTTATGGCTTTGGCATAACCAATTGACCAGACTATTGCGTACCTTATATTTTCCAGCTTTCTGGACTATTATAATTCCCAATGTATCCACTTTTTGACTGAAAAATGAGTTAATTGCATACATTTTTTTTTTAAGTTATAATAGTAATACAATAAAACATTTTCATATTTATAATTTTTTTTTATTCAAGTTCAAAAATATATTTATTTATTTAACATTAAATAGTACATTTAAAATAAATATGTCTTCAGGAAATACTAACTTTGGCATTTTAAGAGGAGACTGTATCTCCTACACTTTTGTTATTAAATATTTCAATCCAGTAGCCATCAGGATCTGTAATAAAAGCTAATCCCTTCATTTTACCATCATCTGGTCTTTTTACAAATTTAACACCAAGTTTTTCGAATCTTTCACAAGCTTTATATACATCTGGAACCATGACACCAATATGCCCTACAATGTTTGCATTTATTAATAAGCCAGAATAAAATTCTTAAAGCAACTTACCAAAGCCTCTAGGATCCTGATTACCATTATGAGGTTTATAATTTTCATCATTTTCTGTTCCCCAATTGCTAAAATAAAATAAAAAAAGTCTTATTTTATCTTATCTATATCATTATTCTGGATAAATATTGGGCTGAGATTAAGCCATCCCATTTAAAAAAAATATATATGAAAAATAGAACTGGTAAAACTATTATATATAAAAAAAACAAAATTCTAATTCATTAATTCATCCTTATTCTTCTCAAAGTATTCTAACTATATTTTGTCTTATTTTGAGCAGTGATCTTTTGATTGATAACTCTTAAATGCATTTGCATCCTTTTTTAATAAAACATATCATCCTTAGCTGTAACTCAGAAAAAAGGCAATCATTGACAGATCTAGTGGCAGTGATGTCAGCATATATGAATAAGCACAATGAAATAGACAATTCAGCGGACGAAAGGACTAATCAACTGCCTGTTAAAATTGGAATTGTTAAAATTCCCGAAAAATAAGTAAGCTATTGAAATAAGATTGGAAAGTCGCAAATATAACAAAATAAAAAACGATTCGCTATAGTACATAAGTATAAAGAATAATGTGTTATAAGACAAAGAAAATGTTATTATTTATTAGATTTGATATCCTCAATCAACGTCTGCACTATGAGCATTGTTAAGTGAATCGACATAAAAAGACCCTAAATCAATATCTGTACTATGAGCGTTCTTTAGAGTCTTGACCCATATGTGTACACAAAGAATATTAAAAAAGTTGTAACTATGAAAAATATTAAAAATTGACCAATTATTAATGAATTATGTTAGGATAAACTAATTAGGTATTAATAAAACTAAAATGTTTGAGGAAGAAGATATAAAGATATGTACACTACGAGAGAAGATAAAAAAATTAAAGGAATAATAATAGATTTTTATGTTACCAACAGGCAGACACGTAGGCAGAAATATATTGTACAATAATATATAGAAATATTATTTTTCTAACAAATGAAAAGAAATTCATAAAACAATGCGATGATTGTCGAAGGCCACATTCAAGAATGCATTCAATAATAGCAAAACAGCCTTTAACCATTACATCAACTGCCAACAGTAGTACACTTGATACAATATTTATAGACTTAGGTCCACTAAGAGCTGAAGGAAATAAATATGTATTGACCTTGGAATGAAAATTGAGCAAATACAGAGAAGTATGTGTAATAAGAAATGAAGAAGCTGAAACAGTAACCAAGCCATCACTAAAAAAGTTTATCTTAAGGTATGGAGTATCAAGAAAATATTTACCAATTGAGGCTCAGAGTTTTTAAGGAAACATGCTCATTGTTGTAAATAGGGCAACTAAACTCAACAGCATACCACCTAACCATACCACCTCAACAACATAAAATACACAGAAGAATTTAAATGCATATCCAAGTTTCCAAATAATTAGAGTATACAGATACAATATTATATGTTTCCATACATTTAGGTAACAGGTTACACACCATCCAAATCAGAAAAATTTGTAAGCTGCTGACAAGTTTTCAGAAAGAAATAAAACAAATTTACAATTTTGATGTTCAAATACAAATACAATTTATTCAACATGAAACCTGCAAACAAGTGGAAAGCCTTCTGCAAACCTGTCAGACAAGTCAAATGTAAACATAAATATAAATAAACATTACATTACATTTCATATTAAAATATTTTAAAAACTTTCAAAACATTACATAAAATAAAATTCACTACATTACAAGTACTTAAAATTCAAAAACTTCTAGACACTCCTCCAAGGGACACCAGCATATGATGCAGGCTTTCCAACTCTGTGTGGATCTTAGTCTGCTCAAGATCATCAAGATCCATCCTCTTCCTCCACCAAGCACATATTCCCATATTTCTCATGTCTTCGTATATGTTATCAAGGAATCTGAGTTTTCCTTTTCTCTCCTCTGGCCAATGGGTCTATCCAGGGGTGTTTTTCTAGCAGGGACAGTTCGTTCCATCCACATTATATGTATGCCCTGTCCACCTCAGATACCCTATCTTAATGTGGAATTACTATAAATCAATATACTTACTGTGTAAGCTCTATCGTAGCTTTCCTGCCAAATGTCCACGTAACTCTCTCCTGGGAACTTAACCCTCCTGTCAGATCTTTTGGATCTTCATATCCCACAAAGTAAAGTGAAAATTTCATACTTGGGAAATCCAACTTAGTTAACAATTGCATACCCAACACTTCCGTGTAGAAGGGTATTGATATTTTTGGATCCTTAATTCTGTACATTGTTTGTTGCATAATAAAGTCCTAAATAATACTTTCTTTTAAAAAAATAGTGCAGAAATTTATATAATATTACCTTAGTTTCTTCAAGGGCTGGTTTACATAATTTTAAAATGTCTTCATTAGATATTGGAGGATTTGGAATATCTCCCATTTTGATCAAAATATATGTAAAAAAACCGGGTACGTTTTCTTTATTTTCAATTTAAAAGGTTTCCTTATTTAAGTGATAAAATATTACTTATAATAGGTGACATTTACTTGTATTGGTTATGTTTCTCTATTCTCTTCTTTTTTCCGTCATATTTGTTCGTAATAACAACAATTTTTTGTATAAAAAAATCAATTATTATTTAATTTATATTAAATATTTACAATCAATACAATTATAAAGTAGTATTAAAATGAAGGATAGATTATCTTCCATTCGGAAACATCTTTTTATTTTTTTCATTCTATTATCCATAAATTCAGAAAGTTACTTCTATCCACTATACTATAAGTTGAAATTAAAAGAAAACAGAAGACTCTCTTAACCTAAAGATAGTTTTTATTTTTGTTTAAAAAATTATAAAATGATAAATACAGACACTGAAAATGGAGAACTTTCTACAAGACAGCGATCAGATCCTAGAAGCAGATACCAATTTCACACCTGATGAACTGCGTGTTCTTAAAGATTGCAACAGAGAAAGTTTTTACAAAAGATGCATACCAATCAGTGCATTTTTGGCTGGTTCAACTTATTATGGTATAAAGGCTGGATTTTTAAGAGGAAGCCCACGATTTGGAGCTACTCCAAAAGTCTTCGTTGCTGTAGCAGTTGGTTATTTTCTTGGCAAATTTTCCTATCAGTCCAAATGTGCAGAGAAACTGATGCAGCTTCCTAATAGTCAAATAGGGGAAATGTTAAGACAAAAAAGACGTGGCAATATTAAAGAATCTATAGATACTGGATTTGGACCAAGTTTGTGCTATTTCTAATATGTGTAGATGTGTACTTGCAATACTGTCTGCATCCATTTAAACAAATAATCGTTAACAGTAGTGATGGGAAGAACTGGTTCATTTCGGTGACCCGGGTCTTCCAGGTCATTCATTAAAATGATCCGTTGATAAAGATCCGTTCATATGAATGACTAATTAAATTTGTTGTGTAAAGGTCAAGTGTGTAGAGTTTAATATTTATATATTTATGAATCTTTCTGAGAGTATATGAATTAATGATAATGCAGGACCCGTTCATAGAGATTCTTTCATTAGAACAACTTTAATTATATTGTTGTTTACATGTAGAATTCTATATTGTTACTATAAATTTAAGAATGAAATATAGTTTAAGGCTGACATTAATATTTGTATTTCTCAAATCATCTTCAGAAATCATTAAAATATAAAAAATACTTGAAAAAGTTAAGTAAAATTACAAATTCTATATTGTTATGTTCATGAATGAATGATAAGGCAACAATTAAAATGGATTTTGTTTCATACAAATTTATAAACAGAACAGACTATGGGACTATTAATTCGAAAATTTGAATGTATATAATTTTACAGTTTTGTAGTGTAAGGGTATAGCCGTTCTGGGAAACTGCAATCAGTGTTTGAATGATCCTTTGTGGTTCACGGTTCATGCATTAATTTGACTGAGCAACATGTCACGATCACACAATTTCATAAACACTAGACAGCGTCATTCATAGGGTTTTTCAAATGATAGTGTAACAGAATGTGATTGTATCAATCACCTGTCTTCGAAAAGATTAGATCTTTGTGAATGGATCGATTGTGACCTTCTTATCACTAGTTAACAGGTTGTATTTCTATATTTGGTGGCAATCCAATTATGTTCTAATTGACTAATTAAGCTCGTAATGAATGCCTGATGGTTATAGATCTATAATTTGTGAGATATTCAATACTTAAATAAAAAATATTGTTTCACAATTTTCAAAAAAGAAGTTTAGTTGAATAGAACTTCTTTCATTGGACTATTGTAGCCAAATATTAAATTAAGGCCATACTTTGAATGTATCCTGCATATGAAATCAATTCATATTTTATATTGAAAAATTAAATATCTTACAAAATGTAGATCAGAAGGAAAGCAACTCACATTCCAAACTTCTTGTAGCTTAATTTGTAAAATTGGACCACAATCTGGTTTTATTCTAGATATTTTTTGTTGGAAATACAACAAGTAAATATAAAGGAAAGGAAATTCTAGTCAATTCTAAAATTTATAATAAAGAATTCTTGATTAATTTTCATGATTAATGATTCATTCTATTCATCATAATGAATTCATTAATGAATTAATTCATTACTAAGTTTTAATTTTTTTTCCTATAGTGTGTCCCTTTAATATTAAAAAAAATCAATTCTTCCCACTTGTATTAATAGCAAAATGATGAAAGTTGAAATGCTGTTTCTATTAGCATTTAAACTATTATTGTTTTGCTATTTGTATTTATTTTCTGAGTCATGGTTTGTATTATAAAGGAATACTAATTCCTTTTGTAAAGTAAATGCAGTATAACCTACTAAGAGGTTTTAGGGAATTATCAACAATATAATTTCAAGTACACAGAAAATGATCCGAAGACAATGGGCCTGCAGGTCAACATATTCAGAACATAATACATGAAGGTCACAAACAGCACACCGATAGCGGCACCACAAGATCTGGTGACAGAAGCACACACATTTGAAGGGGTCTAGGAGTTTATATATCTTGGAACACAAGTAAATAACAGCAACCTAGTAAGCATAGAAATTAAGAGAAGAATATTAATGGCGAACAGAGCTTACTTTAGACTAAAACAGTTCTTAACATCACACATAATTAGCAGAAAACCCAAGATACTAATATATGAAACCTGTCCTGACATATTCGTCAAAGACATGGACTATGGTAAAAAACGACAAAGAACTGTTTGGAAAAAGGCCGCTTTGAAAGAAGAATACTTAGGCACATATACGGAGGAGTACAAGAAAGCGGGATATGGCGTATATTTTGAGTTATATTAATGCTATGAAAAATGCAACATCGTCCAGTATATTAAAATTAATAGACTAAGGTGGCTACGACACCTTAAAAGAATGGATACTGGAGACCCCCAAAGACAGATATTATATCAAGTGCCAGTAGGAGGAACCATGAAGAGAGGCAGGCCAACATCTAGAATTAAAACTCAAGTCGAAGATGACTTGAGGAATCTAGGGGTCAGAAATTAGAAAGCCAGGGCGAAAGATAGGGGGGAATGGAGGTTAATTCTTGAACAGGCCAAGACCCACCCAGGGTTGTAGAGCCAAAGACGATGATGATACAGAAAATGATCACTATCTAAATATGCTACATATAAATATCGCATTAATAATGATCTAGGCCACTTTTATTATTTTATAAGTATTATTTTTTATTATTTTATAAGATTTTCTGGTTATAAAATTAATATCCTATTAGCAAGTATGTGTACTTTATTTGGCAATTTCGTATTTTAGCATTTTTGTAAATTTATTAAAATGTCATACCTTTTAAACTATTTGAGTATAAAATCTTAAACTTTTTCTAAATGAACTTTCTAAAATGAACTAAAAATTCATTTTAATAAATTATGGATAGAGAATATTGCAAGTAGACAACTCAAGTGTAATTTTTTAACTGTAATTTTATTTCAATAATTATATTTTAGGTTTAGGATTAGCCCCATTTTCAAGTATTAATCCTGCAGACACATATAGTGATATAAGTCCTTACAGCAGTTTAGATATAGATACATCAAGACCTGAAAACCCTGGTTTGGATGACTATCATAGACCATCTTTAGATAATCCAGCTATAGAGACACTTGAAGAAATGCCTCCAGAACAAAAAATATCTACAAGTTATGAAGAACTGAGGAAAAAAAATAGAGAAGAATATATTCAAAAAAGAACTGGTGGATATAAAGAACCTCCTGCGAGATCAACAGAACCTTCATTTTTAAGTCCTAGGCAAGAGAAACCTACAAATGAAAATAAATATGGGGATACTTGGGGTTAAACTGGTTTTAATGGCATTATCAAGATTTCAATAAAACAACTTTTATTTAGTAATGTATGATTTTAAGTATCTTATTGACTCTGTTACATATTGTTTGTAGAATAAACCTGTCAAGTCTTTCAAATGTTTTTCTATAAAGAAAGATTAAGTAGATTGTTCCTTTGGTAATGATGTTTCAAAACCTCGTGGACTTCGTAAATATGCATGCCTGAAAAAATAAATAGACCCTTAAAACATTTACCATTTTAATTTCATATGAAATGAGGCGACAGGGTAGGATTTGCAAGTGCTAATGATGTCGAGTATTTCCAATAAACATGGCATATTAAGTTCCTCTAATCTTAAACTTTCCAGTTAGTCATCACATTTTTATTTTATCTCATACTTATTGAAAGATGTAATAAAAATTTACGACTTCCCGTCTTCACTGCCGATAAGAATTGCTGTGTAAAAATGTAAAATATTTACATCGCACTAATTTGGCTTATAAATAAACCTTTAAGGAACTAAAAAAAATCTAGAAGACAAATAAATAATTAACAAATTAATGTATGATAGAAAAATAACAGGATTTTGGTTTTTAATTCAGGAGACGAAAACCTCGAATTCATTGGGAAAAATATTTCCATGAGATTTTTTACATAATCACTTTCATAAAATACGGCAGAATAATGTTCAACAGGTCGGTTATACCAAAAGTGGTCCCAATTTATTAAACAGTTTTTTATAAATTCATTTTTAGGTTGTGATAAGGACATCAAACAACTAAAAACAATGTTTTTAAATTAAATTAGCCCAAACTAAAGTATCAGAAACTAATAAAACAAAGTTTGGTGAATTCAAAAATAATTGTGAGTTTGAACCTTCAATCATCATTTTTCGTTTTTTTTTTTTCATTTTAAATTGTTTATAAGTTGAAAACGATCAACTCTAGAGAAAAATTACAATTAACCTTTTGTATTTAGATTGATCCAAAAAATGATAGATTATTAAAAACGATTGTTCACAAAAAAAATTAAAATATTAAAGCTATTTCACTAACGTTAAAACTAGTTCGTCTTTAACTCGCTACGATAACGCACTGAAGAGAACTGCATGTTTTTAGCAATGCCTGATATTATTGTTTCGTTCGTAGATCGACGTCAGCTCCACGACATTATGAATTATCTCTAACACTGACAACCATCAGGCATGGTGTAGCAGTAATTCTTAAAAAGGGTTATCAAATTTGTGGATCAACTAATATCTAACTTTACTACATTTTCAAATAACCATAACGGTAGGTATTACACATAAAAACTAAAGCTGGAAAAATATAATTCAAATCTATGCACCTACAACTATGATATACAGAGAAAACAACAAGTCCCAAGAAACCACAATTGTAACTGGTGATCTGAATGCTACGGTTGGACTAGAAAAAGTAGAAAATTGTGAAGACAATTACAAATTAAAAACTCCTAATGATAGATGTAATCACCTAATTCAATTTTGCGACCAATATAAAGGGTAAAGTGTGCAAATCGCGGTCACCTAAGAAGAAAATTTAATACAAAAAAAAGTAAAACTCTGTGAATCAAATTTAAGCCGTCAATCCGTAATTTGGGGTTTTAACTTATTGCAAGATACATTTAATTTCAAAAATATAAAATTTTTGTCTTTGACAGAGACAAAACATAAAAAAGTATCTTTGACCGGTATTGTCACCATACATGGACAATACCGTTCATGAGTGTGGGTAATGCCAGTCAATTTGTTTGTGTTATTATTAAAATAAAAATCAATATCTATTTAACATTTTTTTGTTATAAAGCGATTAACGAATGTGGCTTAATGGGTCATAATTCAAGTAAATCAGTAAGAAAGGTGAAAAAATATTTTTTATTACAAAACAAACAAAAAATAACAAAAATATGTGTTTTAATGTAAAAATAGTTGACAGTCATCGCAGGTATAACTCTCTGCAGAATCCCATCCACTGCACTCTGAATAAGCCCATCGTGAGCAAACGGTAAATATATACCACAATTCATTGTTTTTGCCAAACTCGCTGTAAACCAGGCATCTATCTTGGTATGCATCGTCACTATTATCACATGATATATCAATATCCGATTCCAAAGAACTAGAATCAAACACCTTTTTCTTGTAATGCCAATTACAAGAAAAAGGTGTTTTATTACAAGAAAAATTATCTTGTAAACCCAAATGCTAATTTTCTCAGTTCTATTGCTGTTACGCCATAAAAAATTAAGCTAAATATTTTTTTTGTGTCGCTATTTTAGCTTCTTGTTCGGCAGAAAATACTGATTTTCTACCTAATGAGACACCTTGAAATTTTTATTTTTTATTCCTTCTTGCAATGTCGAAAAATGGATGGATTAATCCCTAAGGATTAATAGTATAGGGTATAAATTATAGCATGGGGAATATCGGTCATTGCCTTCTGTTGGCATTTTTTTTCTTAGAATTTTTTACTCGTAAACATGTATTAAAATATTGATTTTAAAAAAGGAATAGGCAGCAAACGTCATAATAATCAATTGTAACCAATTTTAAGATCTACAAGAGAATAAAAATGAATAAAGACCTTATATTACTCAGCATAAAAATAAGATCGAAAACACTGAAAACAGGTTAATAATATTTCTATGAAAATGGTTTGCGCCAACTCAACGTTCGTCAACAATCTGAATATAGAGTAGTGTAGCGACACGTTGGCAGTTATAGGAGGTTGCCAGATTGAATAGATTTCGCACAATCGGGATGACCGCCATTACCCACTGACCGGTATTTGCACAGTTTACCCTAATCTTGAATAATTTTACAATTTTCCAAAATAAAAACTACACCCAGCAATTACAACATACTGCAGATGAAACCAAATAAACTACTTTATGATTAATACTAGATAGAAAAATAGTATTGTATAAATAAAGGCATACTCTTGGTGCATCATAGCTTAAAAAAATCCCAACAGATTATTTATCTGGAGGAATACAAGGGAAAGAATTAGCGAGGATGGACCAATCAGGCTAAAAAAAATATGTTACGTTTCCAATACCAGAGAGATTTGATAACGACAAAGAGAAAAAGAAAATAGAAATAATAGCAAATACAACCTTAAAGTCAGTGACATTTGTCAAAGATTTTCAAATCTAAATAGAATGCAACAAGTACTATCTTATTGCATTAGATTTACAGACAAATGCAAAAAAAGAGAGGTAAAACCGGAACAACTCACGCCTCAAGAATTGGAGGATACTTTACAAAGAGAAATAAAGAATACTCAAGGAGTATTTTCTCCCTTAACAGGAGGAGTAAGCTATTAAACTTACTACCCTATGTGGATAACCAGGGCATAATATTACGCGTTACAATGAGACTTCAGAACTCAGAAATAACACATGATGAAAAACATCCCTTAAAAACGTTGCATGGGCCGACAACAAACTCTGCACTACATAAAGAAAATATTTTGGATCACGCACGGGAAAAGAGCTTTGCGAGAAGAAATAAACACTTGTGTCAAATGTAAACGATACAAAGCTGAAACGGCTCAACAATTAATGCGAAGTTTACCGAGAGTGAGAGTAAATCAAGCTCATCCATTTGCAAATACTGGTGTAGACTAGTCACAAAAACTGTACACCTCAAAGTAGTAAGCGATATGACAGCAGATTTGTAGCTGCATTTAAAAGATTTACTTCAAGAAAAGGACAGTGCAGTCACATATACAGTGGCAATGGAACAAGCTTTGTAGGAGCAGCAAACCTGTTATCATTAACAGACATCTTAACATTAGGAAAGCACTGACATTTCATACCAGCGTATGGGCCACATTTCGGAGGTTTATGGGAAAGCGCTGTGAAAATTATGAAAATATCATTTGAAGAGAGTAATTGGGGATAGCGCGTTAACATATGAAGAGCTAAGCACAGTGCTAGCTCAAATAGAGGCATGCATGAACTCCCGACCTTTATGCGTTGATACGGAGAACAGAATAATAATAACCTCAGGACACTTAGAAATTGAGAGAGAACTAATTTCACAAAGTAGGAGGAAGAGTTGAACACATACGAATGTGCCACAAAGGTGGAAGCAGTTAGAAAAGGTAAAAAGAGATTTTTGTAACAGTTGGAAACATGACTACTTGTCAAATCTACAACAGCGTGTGTAGTGGCGGAAAAAAACCCGTCATAAATCTAGAAAAAGAAGAAGTGGTAATAATAAACAGAGTATATACCCCTAGACAGAGTATATATTTGTGGTTTATTAGTATATACTCTGATAATAAAGGAGAACGACATTTCGCCAGGGAAATGGCCACTATCGAAGATAATCGAAACACATTTCGGAGCCGAAGGTTTGACAAGAGTCATAATAGTTCAAAAGGTGAACGGAAAAGTAACTACTCGTCCTATACAAAAGTTGATACCAATAGTACGAGAGTCCACCTCACGAAAGACAAATAACGTAGGTAGTATGTGGAAAAAATTTTATGTTTTGTATACTATTTTTAGTATTTTTCAAACCGTCAAACGCAGATTTGTACAAGATACATTGTCTTCACATTCTAGGTACATATTTTAATAATCAACTCATGAAGTTTTTAGAGACACTTTTCCAGTTCTGTCACACGGATTTCTCTGGGTTAGTGGGTTACGACCTTGGAGGCCCCGTGATCTAGGGGCGGATCACTTTCCCTGCCGAATCTTGGCTTCCGTATTCCCACTTAAGTTGTGTTTATCATGATAGCTTTACTAGAGATGTCATTGGGGATCTTTAATGCAGTGGTTTCTCGTTGTCTTTTGCATTCTGATGCCATTGACCGCTTTCTTGGTTCTTTCGCCTTCGAGACCAATTTTTCAATCTCAGGACAACAGAGTGCCCTTCCACTTACCAGCAAATCCGCCCGAAGCCATTGACCAGTAAATGGTGGATTTTTTATCCCGGCAAACCAGCGAGCAAAAAGACAATAGAGGGAATGTAAAGGTAGTGGGGGCAAACATATTGTTAGACAGGAAGTGCGATCTTTAGAGGCCACTTTAAACAAGGAAAGAGAGTCTCTCTCCTTGTTTGACATCAAATTTAGTTGGGTTATGTTATTGTTTGTCCCAAATGTCACATGAAATCTTATTTATATTGAAGTTTTTTAACAATTGTGTCGCATTTTAGACTCTTATCATTAATAATTAATTAAAACTTTCTCGTCTAAGACACATTCTGAAAACTATTATATAGCTACTGTTGATAAGTGTCAGAAAATTTAAATTTCGCGCATTCGCATTTCCGGATATGTCCGCCATCAGAGGCCACTTTTTTGGTCTCCTTTTCATAAGGATTAGATTCCCTCTTTTGTCTTATTGCTCGATGCGGCAAACACACGGACGTCAGAGCCCCATTGGTTATCTAGCAGGATGCCCATGATCTAGATCATCATATAAGCAGGCGAGGTTGACATTTGAATAGAAGAGGTAGTTACGCATCACTATTCCATTACAACCCCCACCCTCCTGAAACAAAGAGATATTATTCCATTGACAAAAACCAAAGCTGTTAAAATCACAAGCCGAAAAAAGGAAAGGAACAGCAACAGAATAATAGGAAAAGGAGATTAGACGGATTTTGAACGCACAAAAAAAGAGAAAAAAAGCACATAAAAGGTTTTGTTCAAAAGAAAAAAACACACAGTACCAAGCAAAGGAAGTTGGGAGTAAAGATGGCATGTCAACTACAATTTGAAAAAGAATCTGACATAAATTTAAGTTTCGCTGAATGTATGTACTGCAGTAAATTGTATTCGTGTTTAAAGGATTGTAAAGGGTTGGTAAAATGCTCTGGATCGGAATGGCACTGCTGTGTGGGAAACCACGTTATTTAGATTTCATTTTTTACTCAACATTGTCTTGTCTTCTCTATACCACTTTTATATTATATAGTCTAATAGTACTTTGTAACAAATTTCTAATATTGATATAAATCTGTGGACAAAAATGGCCATTTTACAGCATATTAATTTCTTTTTAATTTAATTAATTTTTAAGATATTTATAGTACTACTCAGTACACCAATATTCTTCTTTTGGCATCATAACCCTGGATGGGTCTTTGCCGGTCTGGCTATGTCCTTTCATTCAGATCTCTCTTGGGACTTTCTCCTCCATTGTCTTATATTCATCGTTTTCAGGTCGTTTTCCAACCATCTCGTCCTGGGTCTTTCTTTTTTCCGCCTTCCTACCAGCTTCCATTGTATCATCTTTGTCGTGTCTTCTTCTCGCTGAACATGTCCCAGCCATAACAGTCTTTGACTTTTCATAAATCTTACAATGATATACCCTTCATTCAGTTCATTAATCTTATTTTCCTATTACCTATATTCAGTATCTTTCTCTCGGATGTCCTGAGTTGGGTTTCTCTTTTTTTCGTCATTACCTAGGCTTCACAACCATAGGTTACTACGGGTCTAATCAAAGTTCTGTAGATAGTCATTTTGGTTCTTCTGTTTAATAATTTCGATGTCATCAATCTTTTATTAGCATGGTATGTACAATTTCCACTGGAAATACGTGCATTAATTTCGCTACTTGCGGAATTCTGATTGATTTCTGTGTCAAGATATGTGAAGACATCCACACGTTCAATAGCATAGTTGCACACACACACGCACATACACACACTATATGTAGGTAATTTCTGAAGAAGAGATTTTTCAAACCATGATTCAAAAATTGAACTTTCCATATACTCATGGTAATCTAGAGACGAGTCTTCATTTTTTTTTTGCAGGTATTAATAATAGATCTTCGATCCATCCATTTTCTCCACCGCAGTGTAAAATTATAATTCTTTGTCATTTATTGGGCGGTACTGAATTAGATAACTTTTTGTTATTAATCGTCTAACTTTTTTTCACGGTATCGTATCATGAGTATCATACATATGATATAATACTTCGTTTCATTTTTCGATACTCAGTTATCTGATTGATATGATTGTTTCTTAAGAGCGTAGGCGCAAAATTTCAAGACAATGCTTTTTAAATGCATTCATTTTTTTGAATCCTGAGAAAACTAAGAAATATTTTTGAAAAATTTAAACGCAGAATGAAAGATTACATTATTACCGAGGGCCAAAAGTCTTCTTCTTCTTGATGTGTCTATCTGTTATGAATGTTGGCGATCATCATGAGAATCTTTAACTTAATCTGCAGCAACGTTTTCTGCACAAATGTTGTATTGAACCAGATTCTAAGGTTCTTTATCCAAGATGTTAGTCTTCTTTATGGACCTTGTTTTCCAAATATTTTTCCTTGCAGGATGGTCTGAAGGAAAGCATATCTAGATTCATTTCGCATATGTCCGAAAAATTGTAAATTTCGAGATTTGATGGTGGTCAGTACCTCTCGGTTCTTATTCCTTCTTCTGAGGACCTCTCCATTTGTGACTAGATGGTAGGTATTTGTGATTGAAGGTGGATCTAGCTTTTCCGATGCGTCCGAAAGTACCTTAGAATAAACAAAAAGTTTTTTTGAATAAGATATTTGAAGTTAAAAATCACACTAAACTTTGTTTTTTTCACCTCTTAACTATTAAAATAAACAGTATAGAAGTTTTCAGGACCTTTCGATCCTCATTACTGATGTATTCCTTTATTCTGCATTTAAATTTTTCAAAAATACTTATTAGTTTTCTCATGATAGGAAAAAAATGAATGCATTTAAAAGCATTGGCACGAAACTTTGCGTTTACGCTCTTAAAGAATTATTCTAGTACTTTCCTTTAGTGTCTGGGGCTTGTTTATTTTAATTATTGGCTTTAATAAATACTCGAAGTGTTGTTGCTGCACGTAAGAGAAGATCTTTTCGAATCAATTCACTTCGAAGGCTTTCAATAGTTGGAAAAATATTAGCGGCATACATTTTGTATCTTGTTCTGGTTTTAGGTTCAATTAAGTGTGATTCTATTTGTCTGAATTTGCCACAATCTATAATCTTGTAGCAGGTTGCTTTAGACACTGGTTAAAAAACATGTTTCTGCAATTGCCTCTGATTTAGACAACTCAGAACACAGTCCTTCATAAACATGTTTCAGCATACGTTTGGCATCATCAGAGAGATATTGGACAAACGCTTACGTTTGCTACACAGCTCTGTAAATCTTCCAATTAGATGATTGTACCGGCTCTCAACTTGCTCACTTGCAGTTCTCTATTTGAATATAACTGCAAGCTGTTAGGGTTATACTAAAAATATTCTTGTTTCGCAAAATCTGATTTTGCTGGTTTAAAAATAAAATATTATACCTCCCTACCCAAGTGTTAACCACTGGGCAGTTGAAACGTGACTTTTTCTGATAAACTACGTTATGGTTTTAGTCGCTCAGGCAAATATTGTTATATCTTACCCGAAGGATGCATAAGCAGATATATGCCTATAAAAACTTCATCTAGGTGACTGTTCATATTTTCAAAGATAATATCAGGCACATCTGAATGTAAACATCGATGAGAATATTAAAACTTTGTGTTATTATACATTCCAGTCATTGATAAGTTTGCAGTTAGTAACTACTCCTGGTAGAGTACTTTTATTTTAATTGTTATTGCCTGCTTTTATTACTGATATATATACTTTTACAGTCTCGTCGAAATACGAAGCGACTATAAGAGTCAATAGGATCAAACTTGCATAAATTAAATAAAACAAAAATATATGTTTTAAATCTTTATTTTTCATTTTTAGAACATAAATTGTTCCCTGTCTCAGGTCTGTCCCATCTTGAAGTTCAAATCTTCCTGAAACAGCCATTATATTCTCCTCTATTTTCGCATCTTCATATTAGTTCCACCTCAAAAATAAAATTTATATTAAATATATAAATCAAATAGGAACGCAACAATAGTGATTATTTCAAAACTATTTGCTGATATCACTGATGTTGCAAATTGATGTATGTTAGTTACAAAATTCCATATTTTAAGGAAAATCTTCCAACGCTTGCGAAAATAATAGTGGAAAATGACCATATTACTCCAGCAGATACTAAAATGACACTGAACCTCTAAAAATCATACGAACAAACTGAATTTTGCTGAGAATGTTAATTTTGGAATCTCAAAAGATGCAAAAAAGTTTGCCACACCTACCACCGGAGGGTGGTGTAGGGCTTCCCTCTAAAACTCCCCTCATAAGGAGGGAACGAAAAATGAAGAACATCGATTTACCAAGAATCTGTACGCCGCTCTCAGAAAAAAACGCTTGAAGCGATCGGCGATTTTTAATGTCAGTTACGCACGTGAAATCATTATTTAAATAAAAGTTGTTACAACTCGACAGTAAAATTCTATCTTTTCGAGTGTTCTATCGACAAAAATCAAAATGTGATTAATTTTTAATTGTAAATTTTTGCATTTTGAAGAAAATGAAGTCAGTTTCTACAAAGCAGTTACAATAAATAAACGTTGCATGAGTTTTAATGAGATCAATAAAATGTATCACTTCCATTGACCGGTCACTACCCGTCTACGTTCTAGAAAACCACCAATGAAAACGGCAAGAATGAGACATGAGGAGTTCAACCTTACAAATGCATGGTCCCAAGAATGGAATGCATGGCAAAATAATATGCCCTGCATTACCCACAAGCCACCAGGTTTTATCTTCCACGTAAAACATGGTCCACAAAACAGGATCCAAACGAGACATGGCAGATGTGCATACATGCTACATAAATGGGGAAAGAATCCGTCTCCTCAATGTGACTGTGGAAAGAACCAAACGATCGGAAGAGTGTCCCTCAAGATCCTACAATGGTAGCTCTGAAGACTTCCTGTTTGCTACTTTAAGAGTCAAATTATGTTAATACACTGACTGATGTTTGTTTGTACCTATTTAAAGTTTGTCATATACCTATATTACTAGTGTTTGTAATTTTGTACTAAATGTGTTGTAATTGCCATACGATAAATAAATAACCGGTAACTATGGAATTTCCATTGTTAGTACCTAATCTTGAAAACTTGTAGGATGAAATTTGGATTTTGAATTTTGGCAACAGATACGAGACATTTTAAGTTACCTAAAAATGTTGAATTCTATCATCACTGAGACATCTATTATATCACCTGGTTTATGAACAAGAATCGGACCGAAATGCTAGTTTTTGAAATTCCCATTTTTGGTCAGCTTTTTTTTTATGTAAAATACCACTCTATGTGGCGTATGGATTCTTGGAAAATTGATTTTTTTTTCCGTTCCCTCTCTGAACATGGAGGTTTTAGGGGAATGCCGGAACCGGTAGGTAGTGGTGGCAAACTTTTCTGCAGTCTCAAAACTGACATTCTCCCTCTCAGTAAAATTTAGCTTGTTCTCGTCTTTGAGACCGAATCTCTGACTAATACCTAGAATATATTCCGGTGAATCATTAAGATTACAGGAAATACGCGGAGAAATCGAAAGACAAGTGAAGACATTAGAAGAAAATGTAACGTACAGTGTATAAATGAATGGACACAAAATAGAAAAAAAGAATAATAACCACATAAGCAGAATGGAGGAGACCCCTGTCGTCAAAATAGCAAGAGATAAGTCACCAATCTTCAGAAGTATCGGACGACCGCGCAAAAGATGAAGTGACAACCTTCCATAGAGGTATTAATTCGCCAATGAACAAGCAGAATTGCTTATAAAGAGGAAGAAGAGATATTAAGGAATATTACTATATTAATAAATGGATACGAGTCATATTGATATTTGAGCTTCAATTGAAGAAATAAAAAAGTGGATGATCGAAAAAACATAAGATGCATCATGAAGATCTACACATTATAAACAATAAAAAAATTACCCAAAAAAATGCAAAACAAGAATTGTTAAGAGAAATTAATGGAATTAAGAGATCCTTTATAAACATAATACTGGACAAAAAAAATCAGATCACTTGGAAGTTTCGTGATTATCAGCATTGGCAATAATTCCAATTCTCATTTTTCCAAAAGAATTCTGGTCTCGGGTTCTTAATTTTTTCTGGAATGTTTTCACATCCTCTAAAGGCCTTTTCCTCTTTCGTCTCGTACTTTCTCTATTTAAATATGGGCTATGTACTGACCAATTCATATTTCTGATTTCTCAAAGTCATTAAAATAATACATTTTTTGATTGCTGAGCATAAAAATAAAGTCCGCCAACAAAAAGTATCTACCGTACATGCCCTACAAAATAATTTTAGTTTTTCTTAGTTCTTTTTTCATATATAATCACTAAATACATGCTAGCTCCTAATTTTTCGAAGAGCATAGTACCTCAGACTTACTGAGTTTTTCATCAAGGATGAATCATGCATAATGTTAATGATTTCTTCCCAAAAACGATTCTCACGTATCTGGTGATTTTAAACATTACAACAGGCTGAGAAAACAAACTTTTCTATGCTTCTACTATCTGTTCTTCCACAAACAAGTAAAAGTTGTACACATTTCAGGAGAAAACAATGAAAGGGACAAATGTTTAGAAATAAATATTGAATTATTAATACCAATTTTAAATTTTCATTTAAATATTAACGGTTTTTATCCAGTAATGTATAAAATAAATACAGCAAACGTCAATTATGGCGAGGTTTGGTTGAGAAGATGTTCAAAGGAATTAACTACTACTTAGCAGTAACACCCTCCAGATATCCCACTTAATTAATGCCAGTGTGTCTGGTAATTCAAGACGAAAATACATAATTTCGGAAACCTCATCATAAAAGACGTTTACTGTATACATCATGTTGACATACTTGCTTCTATATCAATTCCCTTTGGCGTTCCAAACAAATTCAACCTAACCTAAAAAATAAAATATGATTAGTTTAAGTTTTATTGTCTACTACACTTGTGTCATCAACAATTAGATTTAAATTATTTTCCTTTGTAAACAACATATACTAATATTATATAAAACAGACACAAGTATAGTCCAGCTAACAAAGTTATAGAGAACTTAATTTTTGATTTAATTTTGGAAAAATGCTAAATGAAATTCTCTAAACATTAACATTGCAGGTCAATTTAGAGCAGAAATATATTGAGTTGAAAATCATTAAACTGACTATTAGATCCGGTGACCTAATTTATTTGAAGAAAAAATTGCTAATATATTGATCAGTTCAAATTAGTGGCATCAAATTATCTTCAATAAAATATAACTTGTTTAAATAAGTGAGCCCATTCAAGCAAGAGCTACAAACCAATTTGGAAATTTTCCCATTTGAAATATTTTTTGGACCACAACAATAAAGTAAAAATCAATTCAGCAAACTAAGATTTGGAACATGTTGGCCAATTTATTTTATAAAGATTTAAAAGAATTTTGCAATCATTGTAAGAACTTAAATAGTTTAAGAGCAGAATATTTTGTATAAATCAAGAAGAGACAAAATATTTACTTACTTTTAATTTACATTGGCTAGTCATATTCAATTAATTATTTTGGATAATTTTGGGGCTGGCATTCTTTTTTTTTAGTGATCTATTCGCATAAATAAATTTATTTGTTTTAACACTTTTGCAGTAAAGTGACCTCAAGTTAAAAAATCAAGAAATTACTACTAGATAATAGTGCTCTGTAAAGATGAAAAAATCTGCATCGATACATTAAAATTATGATTCTAGTTCATAAGAGTTTTGGTATCAATTCCAGTAGACAGTGTCAAAGTACAACAAACCAAAGTGCGTTGGACTAACTTTGTTTACTAATGTAATTATATATATTTTTTATAATAATTATTCAAAATATTCGTCTCAGCGAACATTGATTTATATATTGAATATAGCGGTTGAACTAAAATCATTAGAAGTAACACCACAGCCTAAAGCTTTAATTGATCTGTTAGTTGTCTAAATTAAGTTTTCTGATGAACAGATAAATGTAGTGTATTACAAATTAATTAAAAAGGCATATACATTACCTCACGATTATTTGGTTTTTTGTTATTTTTTAAAATAGTTTAATCCTCTTTTAAATCCTTTAGAAAATTGTTCACTTGTAAATGAAAATTAATACTTCGCAACTATTTAGTGCCTGTAGTTTTTAATTACAAGGCACACAAATTATGGCGATGAAATTTTTATCCAATTTTCTTTTTATAATGATCAGGGATTTCTTTAATTTCATAAAACACATGGGTTCCTTGCTTTTGAAAGAATATGAAAGTAAATATCTTAAAATCTCACAATGTATACATGCAATGTACAGGGTGTCCACTTAAACTTTCTGTATAAATTTTAACAGAGGTATTAATTGAGCTTTACATATTCATTTATATACAACTACTTACTAGCAACATTTAGAAAAGTTTATACATTAATCATGTGAATATCCAAACCAAGAAGCAAGTAAACAAGATCTAACTACATACCAATGGAGAAAAGAACTAGAGGAGGAAAATAAGAGCAGCAAATGAGTACGAAGCGATGAGACTAAACTGAAAGATTAGTTTAATCAGAGTTAACGGCTGAAGAAATATTACTTTTAAGAAAGCACTTACAATTTAACGTGAATTTTATAGATTATTGAGTTATTAGTGTTGCCAACAAAATGCAGGAACTATATAAGTTCTCTGAAGTTAATAAATACACTAGGTGTGTAAAACAAAACAAGAGTATTGCTACATATACAGCAAAAACAACTCTTTGCACTCTTAAATTTTGTCAAATTATTGTACTGTGTTATCTAATGTAAAGCATGTTAGGTCAATATTTGTAACAATCTGTTTTATTAGAGAATATAATTTCTAGTGTCTAGGTTTTGTTGTTAGTATGGTCACGTATGGTGCACTTAGTTATGCTGCACTTTCAAGGAGAAATATTATGACTTCACAATTGATTGGAAAGTCATTAAGAGGATAGATTGATATTAAACTACCTTTGATAGGTGGCGCTACTTGATACCGAATTGGTTTCGGTGTTGACATTTGCCATTCATGACATGACGTCTGTCAAAATTTTAAGTTTTAAAAATAATTAGTTTGGTTTTTATAGCCGTCATAAACAAGCAAATTTTGTGCGGAAAAAGTCCAGTACCGTTCGGTGATTAAGTTCCTCCACAAAAAGGATAAAACGAATGTGCAAATCAAAGCCGACCTGGACGAAGTTTATGGTGAGGTTGTACCTTCGTTAACAACAGTAAAATTTTAGCAAGCTGAATTTGTTCGTGGTTGTACGAGTGTTTTTGATGATGAGCGTCCCGGGCCAAATGAAGTCACCACGCCGGAAATGATCAACAAGGCCCATGACACGATTATGGCAGATCGTCGAATTAAGCTCCGCAGAGGTCCTAAATATTTCCTAAGAATGCGTACACAACTTCATTCACCATCATTTGGACATAAAAAAGATATCCGCGCGATGGGTGCCACGTTTGCTGACAAATGATCAAATGTAAAAAACGTGTGACCACTTCGGAGACGCTTTTGGCGATGATACGGCGCGATCCAAAGGATTTTTTTCGCAGATTTATCACCGTTCCCGTGATGAAACCTGGGTGCAACAATACACACCAGAAACCAAAGGACAGTCGAAACAGAGGCGCAAACGCGGCGAAGGACCGCCGAAGAAGGCAAAGAGTGCACATTCGGCGGGCAACGTGATGGTGACTGTTTTCTGGGATGCGAAGGGCATCATCCACATCGACTACTTGGAAAAAGGAAAAACAATCAATGATGAGTACTACGGAGCATTATTGGATCGATTCGATGCCGAATTGCGTCGAAAACGCCCCGGTTTGGAACGCAAAAAAGTGCTCTTTCACCAAGACAATGCACCGGCTCACCGATCAGCCGTCGCCATGGCAAAATTACACGAATTGGGCTATGCATTGGTTGAACACCCACAGTATTCCAAAGATCTTGCCGCCAGCGATTTTTACCTGTTCCCAAACCTAAAAAAAAATGGCTTGGAGGACGCCGTTTCGCAACAAATGATGAAGTCATCGCTGAAACTTCGGCCTATTTTGAAGAGCTCGAGCAAAAGTACTATTCGGATGAGATAAAAAAATTGAAACATCGTCTTACTAAGTGTATCGAGCTAAAAGGGGACTATGTTGAGAAATAAATCAATTTATTGATTTAATTTTTATCCAAAATTAATATTTATTCCAAAAAATTTAATTCCAAAAAACTTGATTTTCTATCAAAGGCTAGTTTTATACCAATCCACCCTCGTACACACATATAATGTTCAAATAACTAAGTTGAAATGTGGTCATCTTCAGAATCATAAGTTTTACCATCAGAGGTAAAAAAATTTCAATGATTCCATTTTATGCCAAAAACAAGACATTTTTTTCCTAATTTCAGAAAAGTGTTATTCAAATTTTTATATTTATATTTTTTCTTTAGAATAAATGAGAAGTTTATATTGTTTTTTTTTGTACCTGAATCCAGTTTAAATTTTGTTAATGTTGATGTTTTAAATGTTATATGCAGGAATATATAATATATATTTCTAAATGTTTTAGAAATGAGTTCATTGCAATATATTACAAAATTCAACAAAATCATTGAAATTTTCATAAGTCCTAGCAATACCAGAAATGTTGCTTACTTCTAAATGGTTTTGTGAACATTTTGCACTTAAGCTGTCATATTATCATTTCTATGAGAATTACATCTCTTAAAATATACTTATCTAAATTTGGGTTTTAATGAATTACGTTGATATCTGCTACATTGAGTGTGGTAAAGAATTGATTACTAGTGCCAGCTAACATTTCATTCAACATTAAGTTAATTAGTTTAAGACTGTTTTGGTACACATATTTTTGATTTCAATTTTTTATCTAATTCAAATTTGGATGTTACCCCTGTTGCACAAAAACAACTCACACTCAACATTCATAGAAATATATTTTGAAAAGGAGATTGGGGCAAAATTTCAAATTTTTTTATTGTATATTATGTATATGCTAAAATCCAATTCTATATCGGACCACAATATCAGATATAATTTTGATTCACTTCAAATATTTAAAATGTTATTTCACAAAAACTGAATATGGACACCCTGTTGATTTTGTTCAAATGAGAAGAAAATTTTTGTTAATAAGTAACTTAAAATGAATGGAATTTATACTTACACGTTAATATATTTTTGTTTCCTACGTTTTAAAGTTAATCCTTTAAGTGTGTATAAATAGAGGCTATATTTTCTATTTCAAACTGTCTGTAACTGTACTCTTCCTTTGATATTTGTAATTTTGAGAGGCGTTTTAATTATATATACAATCAACTTTAAGTACAAAAACTGATGTTTTTAAATTCCACCCTGGTCAGAGTATTCCCATATCACTGAGGATAAACCACCAATACTAATCAAGTTCATGTTCACATCATTCTTTATCACACATATACTTCGATTTAGAAGCTGTTGACACTAACATCTTATAACTTAGGAATTACTTCTTAAAAGTATTCACCTTAAAAGGTATTTTCTGACCTTACAGTTAAAACTATTGAAATTTGTACTAATTTTAAAAATTATCCGGGCGTTAATAATAAAAAAGAATTAAAGTCAATAAATAAACACAAAACTAATAAAAGACATCTCAAAATTTAATAAAACATGAGATTTATACATTACAAGCAAAAATTACCAACATGTAGTTTACCCATAATTTCAAAAGTCCATACTACATTATAAAGTGTAGCAATATTCATTTTTTTTAAGATCTTTCCAGGTAGATAAAATCATCCTCTGATGAGACGTTCAGTATTAATATATAATTGAAGGATCTATGTTACAAATTAACAAAAAGTGTAACTGTTATTAAAATATTTCAGATATGTTGACTTGTCTTAAACTAAGTACATATTAAATTTTAATATGGAAGTGCATAATATGTCAATGTACACAATATGTTAAGCACATTTGTTATTTACTGACTTAAACAAGAAATTTCAGTATGTATATTTATAAAATACATTTTGTTATCAAACAATATATACTTTCTTTCATACTTATCTCGGTTACTTAATACATTTTTTGGTAACAAAAAGTTTCTACACTCAAATTTTTACTACAGAATTCAATTTATCTTTTCCACAGCATAAAGAAAATTTTAATTGTGTTTTTAACCAACAATATCATGAACATAAAAAGCTAGATCTGCAAGACAATGTCTTGCTTGAGATGTGATTCTATAATTTTCGAATCCACACTAAACATATGAAAGTGAAAGGATATTTTAGGTTGACTGAAAATGTGACCACCAAAAGGCAAGGTATTAGATTCAAAAACATTTCTAGAAAAAAGAAGATACAAATTTATAAAACTGTCACAAGACCAATAGTATGAATACGAAACCTGTACACAATGAAAAGCCAAAGAAGCAAAATTACGTTGCTTCAAACTGAAAGTGTTTGGAAAAATATATGGACCAGTAATTGACAAAGGCAGGAAAAACCACCATAACAAATACAACTTAACTATACAAACACCCAGACATTGTAAGAGAGCCAAGACGCAGAGGTAAGATGGGCAGGTCACATATAACATAACTTTTTTCACAAACTTATAAATTATACATAGACCCTTCTAGGCGAGTGACCCAAAACATACCAAATTTTTGCAGTAGTAAGGATCTCAATGAAACTTTTTGCATTTGATTCATATGATTGTCAGGAAATTTTATGAACAAAAATGATGATATGGAAATGAAAATTGCATTATTGAACAAGGGAAATGCATTTTGAAGTGATGAAAAATAATAAATTTGTAATTTAGAAATAATTGACAAATATGAGTTCCTTATCACTACTTATATACACATCAAAGGGTTTTTGGGGCCACTGAACACGAATATCATGACGGCGATGGTCTCTGAGGTACCTGGTGCATCTAGGCCCGCCTCCTGGAGTTTTGTGGAAATTCGATACAAAATCAGTGCACACTGGTTACAAGGGGGTATTTTGGTGTCACAGAAGACTAATATTTCAGCAATGGTCTTTGAGGCACCTGGTACCAACGACGTACCTCTTCTCCTTTAGTTTTACGAAAATTCGATACAAAATCAGTACACACTCATACGCGGTTTTTGGGGGTAGCTAATTCACGAATATCGTAATGGTAATAGTGTCCGGTAGCATTGGTGGCCAGGACGGACCTCATCTTCTGGAGGAAAACAAAATCAGTGCAAACTAGTTAAGAGTTTTTGTGGTCGCTAATATCATGTCGACGATGTTGCCAAGCATGAGCCTTATCTAGAGTGTTCTGGAAATAAATTCAATAGAAAATCAGTGCAAATTTGTTACTCTGGTGATTTTGGGGTTGCTGTATAATATTGAACTCATTGAACCCATTTACGTCAATTATTTTAAAAAGATCACACACATCTAATGGAAAATGTAATGTCACTCTCAATGCAATAAAATTTACATGAATAGATTCGTCTCCAAATTACAATAATTTCATATCATCGCACCAACTCTTAATAACGGCATAAGTTGATATAAACAAATCTAAAATCAAATGGATATGTACCTCATATAGGTTTGTATGTATGTGGAGTGAGAAAAATAGATTTTGTTAATCATCAGATCCTAAATCATCCTGCAGGTATTAAGGCAAAGTACCATTTCCAAAGGATATAGTTCCTCTAATAACAGTTGTGAATGATAGTTTTATTTACTGCAAATATGTGATTTCCCTAAACTTTAATCAAAATTCAGAGCTGTCACAATGATATGAAATGATTATAAGATGTATGTGTATCATTTTTCATCACTTTGGAAAATGCATTTTCCTTGTTCAATAGAATTTTCAACTCCACGTCATTTTTGTTCAAAAACTTTCCTGGTCCTCATATGAATTGAATGCAAAATGTTTCATTGAGATCCACCCTACTGCAAAAATTTGGTAGCTTTATTGCTTCATTGCCTCACTATTCATGTACATCTACAATTATGTCGAGTTTTAAGATTTTAAATACCGAAAGACAGGCGATTATCAATAATTCAAGTTTTTATTTTATGGATAAATATCATAATTGGTCATTTTCACTTTCTACCACTTTGTAAAAAGCAGAAACATTTAAATAGTTCAAAACATATTTCGAGTTTGTCTGCCATTTTTTTTTGTATTATTTTTTATTTGTATTTTGATTGTTATAAATTGTTTTTTTATATTTAACATGGTAATACCTCAGGTAAAGTGGAAATTTGTAACTGTTTCTTCAGAATTGGAACTGGCCTCTTCTTGAAAATATGGATACTTAACCAATTGCTACAAGCAAAGGTTTTAATGCTTGGCAGAATTGTTTATAGGTAGTATTATATACATATACTAAACAAATCTGATGATTCTACTACTAAATAAAATGAATATGTGGTTAATTTCTGGATATAATGTGATATTTGTGGTGTACGGAAATCTTCCAATTATATTAAAAACTGATTCTTTAAGATAGTTTTTTTTATAAACCATATAATTTTATATGGTTAAAAATTTAGTTTCGATTGTGGTTGTAATTTAGTTAGATTTATAATTATGCTATTTTATAGCTTATAAATATTTTTTGTTCCAGATGAAATTATTTAAAGTGTCTTTTCACAGTAAATTTGTTTCTAAGGAAAAACCACTATTTTTTTATAATTAAGGATTATTGTCATATCCCTTCATGCTTGATTTTGTGTACAAAATAGAGGCATCTTTAATAATTCCTGTACTTCACTCTGAAACTGTAGTACTAAATTAATATTTCAGGAGCCAACTTTTTAAGTTGCACTATGTTTAAATCAGTGAATACTTTAATACAATTTATTTTAAATAATAACCTATAAACAAAAGGAATTCACTTATGATTTCTCATCAAGAGGACTATGTACCTGTTGTAAATAACTTTGTAAAAATATGTACACTGTTGAAGGAATTTTATTGATTATTTAAATATCATCGTTTACAATTGTCAAATTAAGTAATTCAGAGTTTTGTAATATTTTATGCATTGATTAATGTCTCTTAAAAATATATGTATATAAAATACATATTAAGTTTTAACAATTTTGCAAACAAAACTCTGTGGTATGGTATACAAATGCCCACATTGCTTTTTAATTTGATCATATGTATTTCTGAAATTTATAAAAATATTTTCCAAATTAAAATATAAATGTCAAACAATCCTCTGAATTTTACATGTATAATTTTAAATCTAAACTTACATGGAATAAAATTTGTTGACTGTAATATTTAAAAAGGAAAAACAAGTTTGGGATTTAAAATCATTCTTTATTTTCATCAGTTTGGTCACATTATTCTTTGATGTGGGCACTCTACAATATTTTGTTCCATTGATTAAAAAACACCAATATGTTTTATACAAATTGTTTATCCTATTTTTAAATTAATTGTATTTCAAGACACTTTATTATTAAAGTACTTGTTCAGTTTGAAGCCGCTACACTAATCATTCATTCGACAACACAGTAAAATTGAATGTAATTAAATTACTCTTAATATAAAAAAAGTTGTCCATATACACTAAACACATTTTGGGAGCTTTTTTATAAATAATACTAATGGTAGTTTGGAAGAATTTTAGTATCGCCTTGATGGGGCTGAACCTGAAATAGTTGAAGTGAAAATGTTTTGATTACTTGATTAGTCATACAGATATGCATTTTTAAATTGTTTATGATGCATTTATTTTTTTATATAAATAGTGTTAAAGCCAGCATTTCTTTTATGAACATTTATATCATACAAAAACCCTTTGAAATATTCTCTTTCAAATTAACACATGGCATTAGAATATTTAGTTTATATTTCATGTTTATTTTAGAAATGACAGAAAGTTAGTAACACATCTGATCAATATGCATGTAGGGGGTATTTAAACATCATGGTATTTTGAACTATAAAAACTTTGGAAAATAAAAAAATCTCAAGTTTGTATAAACCACGCAATTGTCGTAAAAGCATCCAAACTTATAGTCATTAATGACATATTGTAAGGAAAAACAAACCTCTATAACTATTATTAAATAGTAATTTTTATTGTTAACCTTTTAAGAAATAAAAATTGCCATATGCCTATATAACCCCTATACCTCTTGAATAACAATATACAGAAAATATTTAAATGTAATATAAAAAGCTTTCGATATAAAAAAATCAATTAATTTGATATCAAGAAAGATATGCAATAAATAGAAAAGTATGCCACCAGAGTATGACAGAGAGTCACAATTTTTATCATACTACTATTGATTCATCACCAAGACAATAACGAATATCTTTTTTTGTCAAAATGGAGATTGCACAGCCATTTATAAATATTATGACAACATTCCAGTCTCCATAGAACCTAATAATGTCTAACTTATGAATCTGGTACCCAGTAAACCCAGCTAATTAAGTTGAGCCAATAGATGATGAGAAATAAAGACAATTTTAAGCTAAACTTACACAAGTAAAAGATGCTGAAAGTTAGTATTTAGTTTCCTACATAGCCAAAATGTGTTTTCATTGTACTTGGGTTTGTCATTGGTAGTTGTATGATTCATTTCTCCCTGAAATTGATTAAGAAGAATCACAGTTAGTGTGTATATAACCTAATTTTAAAAAATCATTTGTAAATACTTCCTAATACCAACAATTGGTATTTCTAATTCCAATATCTGTTGTTATTCTAGTATCTTTAATTCCAATATTATTGTTAATTTTAAGTTCTACAGCTACTACTTCAGCCTATAATATTCCTTGTATAAGTATAAAACCAATGTGGTGTTTTTTAGTCTAAACCAATTTACATAATTGAAATAATTCACATATTACAAACATACACAATTACATTACATATTTTGATAAATCAGAAACTTAAACAGTGTATTAAGATACTTGAAATGACATTAAATAAAAAGAAACATTAATCAAAAGTAAGTACAAATATTTGTCACACAACACGAAAACTACTTGATTATCTAAAAACAATTATACATTTATACAAGAACATGAATTGATATTTTCCAAGAAAATTAAAGCTACAATGTGCTAAAAATTCTAATATGTGTACATCAAGTAGATTATGACATTAAAAAAATAAACTCATAACAGGACAGATCGCATAATGGGTAATGAATTATTTTATGACCAATTTAGATTTGATCAAAGCTTAGATAAAGCAGAATGTTATTGTTTATTGTTAAGAAACCTCTAAAATTAACATTAATATTATTATTAAGCTGTCAAGACAAGCTAAGGACTGAGAGTTTTAAAAAAATGAAAATACACATAAGTTGAAAATCATACACCAGATAAGGACTTTCTTCAGGGCATTCATAGAAATACTAAGTTAAAATACTGTTGTGATACTGACTGAGGTTACAAATTAATTTAAGAAACAATACTTAGTGTCTGCTATTATGTGAAAATATAGTAACTGTTAACTCATACAGACTACATATATTTGAATTTCCTTACAATATCAATCACAATAGACTATAACAACTGTCTTGTCACATATGGTTCTGGAAAATGTTCACTTACCATAACCACCTTGCTGTGCATATCCTCCACTCATATCATCATAACCTTGACTATTGTAACCACCCTGTGCACCTGTGTTGTAACCCCCACCATATTGATCAGTTCCTTGCTGTGAGTATCCAGAATAATCACCGCCTCCACTACCATAGTTGGAAGATGGATTGGAATATTGCGTGGAGTAACCACCACTTTCATAACCACTTTGCCCTCCTCCATATTGATTGTATCCTCCATACTGACCACTACCACCATACTGATTTGAGTATGATTGCTGGCCACTAAATCATAAAATTTTAACATATAGATGAAGTTTATAAATATTAATTTGATTACATTTTTTAAGCAATGTAGGGAAACAAAATTTGAATGAAATTTAATTTAAAATTTCATTAAATAGGAGAAAATAATCCTTACCCTTGGAATCCATTAGCTCCCTGTCCATTTTCGAACCTAGGTCTTTTAATTCCACCTGGTCCTCCTTGCCCACCAAACTGTCCTGGTGCTCTTTTTTGTCCTGGTCCACCTGGTCCGCCTGGACCACCAGGTCCTCCCCTGCCACCTCCTGGGCCACCACGTCCTCTAAAACCACCTGGACCTCCTCTACCCATTCCACGACCTCCTGGTCCACCACCAGGGCCTCCTCTGCCCCCTCCAGGGGCACCACGTCCTCTAAAACCTCCTGGACCACCTCTTCCCATTCCACGACCACCTCCTCTACCTCCCATACCACCTTCTCCTGGGCCGCCTATTAATTAAAATAAATTTTAATAAACAAAGAAAATATTCTTATGCAGATATTTTCTTGTGGTATTTTAAAGTAGTTACTATTTAAATTGGAAATAAGCCACAATTAAAGGTTAAAGTAGATTATTGATGTTTCAATTTCTATTTTGGAAATCGTTCTCAAAATACAAATATTAGTAAATTAAACAAATTTTGTTTTTTCATTACTTGGTAAAAAATTCTTCTAATAATTTAATTTTATCAGACTCATTTATATTGACAATTTCAGACATACATTACAAATTTTAAATATATGATATTATATGTCATTTTAAAGTCATCTACTTTAAAATGTATAATGTATGTCTGAATTGTCAATATAAATAAGTCAGATAAAATTAATTAGAAGAATTTTTCACAAAGTAACAAAATTTTTTTTTTAATTAACTAATGTTTGTATTTTAAGAACAATTTCTGAAGTGGAAATTGAAACTTCAATAAACTACTTTAACCTTTAATTGTGGCATATTTCAAATTTAAATAGTAAAAACAAAAACAAATTGTCATCCACCTTCACAGCTATATTTGCTAAAAATATTGCCTTCTCATGGTGTCAAGATACACATTTTTGACCCAACTGGGTGTCCTAAATATGTAGTTGTTTACCGCCTAATGTTGTATTCTATATTGTTAGATTTTGTAGCTGCCTTATTTAAGGTAACTATTTTTTGCAATTTGGTACACTAGGTTAGTTATGAAAAAAAGAAATTTAAAAAAAAAGTGAAAGAGAAATATTTCCACTTAAAAATTAAAACCTCACATAAAAATTGTGTTTTTGATACAAATATTTAAGAACCAATTACCTCCTGGAAATCGTCCTCTTGGAGCTCCCCTTGGACCTCCACGTCCTCTCATCATTGGACCACCACGTCCTGGTCCTCCAGGTCCACCTCTATAAAATTAATATATTAGATCCTAAATATAAAAGAAATATAATTGAACTCACCGTCCCCTGAATCCTCCTCGGCCACCTGGACCTCCTGGTCCACCTCTGCCAGGTCCACCAGGACCACCTCTTCCTCTACCCATACCCATGCCCATCCCTCTACCTCCACCCATACCCATACCTCCTCTGTTTGGGGGTCCTGTTGGAGCTGCTGCTGCTTCTGGAGCTGCTGCTTCAGCTGTGGTGTCAGCCATTTTTGTCTAAATAATTTTGTTTGTATTATTTATAGTATAATTTATTGGACTGATTTTTTATTTGTAGCAAATATAAGTATTTGTTAGGTATAGTAACAATCAGCTTAAGAGTTGGGTGCAGAAGATTTGTCAAATAAATTAGGATGCTATGAGCTTCTGGAATAAACATAAGTAAAATATTCCTTATTGAGACACACATTCTAAGTGTCATCCAAAACTGAAGGAATGCAGTGTTGCTGGATTATCAATAATTGTAAAACTATTTGCTTTCCCAATGTTTAGCCACTTGACTTAAAGATGGTAAATTAAAAAAAAAAAAGGGGGTAAACAGCTAAGCAGACAAAAGAAAGCAGTTCTCAGCAGAGCAGAAGCTATGCAATGCCAGTATTTTTTAACTAATTAGGACAACTAAAATCGAAAGAAATGGTAATTGGTAGTAACCAAGTCTCCTGGTTAAATAATGTCCAGTGGACCAGGATACAGAGTTGAACAACTGTTCAGAATAGCTAAAGACAGAGTCTTGCCCTGTTAATCGCTAACGTTAAAGGGACATGATATGCATGTTAAAATGAAGAAAAAATGGTAGAAAAATAACATTGCAAACCTTACCTGATGATGGATAGTATTAAATGGTACTGCATGGTAATGCAAACGAAGTTCATAAAAGTGGAAAATGTAGCTGCCTTTTGAAAAACAAATAGGTCCACAAAAAAGGCAAGAAATATAATTTGAAAAAAAAAGATGTTTGAAATGTAGAGTGCAAAATAGATAGGACTTGTAAAAAGTTGTGATTGGTGTCCAACCGTGTAGATGAATGAAAGGGTTGCTTAGGAAATGTGGTCGAAGCAATGGTTCGAAAAAAAGTGTAAATACTAAAATTGGCAAAGCATTTACCAGAGAAATCACGAGATTGCTCCTTAATTATGTTCTTTAATAAGATCTAATACATATACAGCTAAGATTTAATATAAAACTAGTTTTTCAAAATGCCGGTAAATGCCGCTTGAAGTATGTAGCCGTATCACGCCTTAGCTATATCTATATAATTGTTTAATTTATAAAAAAAAATAGTACAAATTTCAGCATTAAGATTACTCACAGAAAATTAATAAATAGTTCTACTTACGATTATACTTTATATTATTTAAAAATTAAAATTATTTCACATATAACACACAACAGCGTTTTACTTTTGTTGAGATTCAAGATGGACGACGACGACCATAGTACATACCCCCCTAGTAAGGTAACTCCCATATCAAGTTTTGGAAGAGAGTTTCTAGCGCCAAATACGGACGGCCGAAACTAATTTAATTTGGCGGCAAATTCAAAACATAAATTCAGAATTTTAGGCGGCAAATTCAAAAATATGCTCTGAATTTTAGGCGCCAAAATTCAAAAAGTATGTTTTTAATGGAAAGTAAATATAGTCATAAAATAAGAAATAAAAACTTATTCTATGCCAGAAAATATATCCTCTCTGTCCAAAAATATAGTATACACCTACACATTTATATATATATATATATATATATATATATATATATATATATATATATATATATAAAAATGTATAACATAATATCTGATACAGAGAGAGTATATATTATGGTACAAGAAAGTTTTTATTTAATATTTTATGATTATATCTGTTTTCCATTACATTAACAAACCAAAGTCCCAAAAATAACAAAATAAAACACAAACATCCTGACACTTGTTTATTTGTATAATTTTCTTTGGTAAAGTATTGGCAACATATCCTCCTCCTCCTCCTTACTTAAGCCCTTGTTAAGGTGTGGGTGGGGACACTCTAAATATTGTTAACTTGCTGTCTCCATTGGCTGCAATTCTGTACCAGATGAACAACTTCGTGAAGGGATTTTTCCACCAATCTTCATTTAATCTTCCCATCATGTTGTGAGATCGTCATTTTGATATACAAAATATAGATACCTCTATATTTATTAGCAATGGTTTGTAGTAAGTTCCATACCTTCTAAAATACTTTTCCTTAAAGTACCATATGTAGATAATAAAGTGTAAACCCTAGCATGTCTGCGATCTTGCTCTTCACAATGATCACAAATTGGCATGTGACTCAATGTAACTGTTACTCAGAAGTAGAAGATCCATGAAAATCTAAAATAATGAAATATTATTAAAATTAAGAATGTATTGACTTTTTTTATAAAATAAGGCCAATTTTAGGAATGCAATTAAAAGAGTCATAAGAGTTTTTTTTTATAAAATAAGGCAATGTTTAGGAATGCAGTGATAAGAGTTTTAATGAGTTTAAAATCTATACAGTATATAAATATAAGATTAATGTTAGTTAAGATTGAAAGGTAAATTAACTACAAAAACAAAATAGTATCAAGTTTGTATTTACTAAAAGTTTGGTATAATTAGGTGCTGTTCTTACCTGGTGCTTGTAAAAATAAACTCCTAATCCTCAGAATGTTTAATAGCCGTTTGTCCAATAACTTTCACCCATCAACAAAAAATATTCTTCGGAAATACTATACCATTTTGGTAATGTACCTTCTTCTTTAGCAGGTCTATTAGATATACAAAATTGATGTATACTGTTTTTATCGTCTATTTCTAAAATTTGGGATACGACTATTGTAAACAGTGTGGTGTAGAATTATTTATTTTCCTCATAATAAATGTCAACCATTATGAAAACAAATCCATTTCATTTTTTGGGTTTGGAAAACGAAATCGACTGTTTGTGTAGTCGGTGCAACCATGAACATAACATTTTTTTACCTTTTATTCTATTTTGTTCCATTTCAACGATGGTAAAACACAATTTTTACAATTAAGATGATAATAACCAAATCCAAACACAAATCTGAATTTGCAATATGGCGTCCCAATCTAAATTAAATTTCGCCACAGCACATGCGTCTCCACCTCCCACCTAACGTGACTAGTAGCGCCGCCGCCATTAAGAACGGATGGGCCCATGCAAAACACTATCCCCTCCCGTCCTATTCTACTTACACTACTATGGGGTATGTATTGTGACGACGACGCAAAGCAACTCGTAAAACACAAAAGACGAGTTGAGCGTCATTAATCAGTTTTACCACCCAACATAGGTAACATGTACGTCATTTCCGCATTGCCTCTTATTAATGGGGTTTGACATCCACATGCACAAATTTAAATCTTCTGTTTGTGATGCACTGATGCAGCAAACTTTGTCATTTTTATATGATTTTTATTAAAGAAGTAGAGTAAATTTAGAGGTTAAGATTTCGATTCCAAAAAGAAAATTTGAATTGAGATAAAATATTTTTTTAAATTTTTTTACTTGTAACTTGTAATTGTAATGGTTGAATCTGGTCTACATCCTCTTTTGAAAATATCAAATCCTAATGATATTAAGAAGGTAAAAATGTACTCTAAAGAAATACTTATATCCGCATAAATAATTGTTCAATAATTGTTATTTAATAATAAAATCGAAATTATGAAAAAATATTATGTTGTTCGGGGTGTTGTTGTCTTCTTGTTGGGATATGTCAACCCTTTAACTTTTCTTTACTAAAATATCCCAGGCATTATAAATTAACTATTGATTTAAATTGATCTCTTTATAAATAAATATCTTCCATACTTCAGACAACAGAATTAGAGCAGGTTTGCTATGTTATTTAATATAGATTGTCATTATTTTTACTTCCAGCTTTGGTTTTAATTTTTCTCACTTTATTTCTGTCCTAAAATATGGATAGCTGAACATTCTTTTTTTTTGTAGGAATCTGCTTTATATTTAACCATTTTTAACTAAAATAATTTAAATTATTTCACTACTATGTTGTAGTCAGTATGACATTGTCTTGATTGTAAAATTAAATAAGTTGAAGTATTCACAGAATAATAATTTATACCAATTAAGAGTTAAAGAAATTTAAACTACATGCTGACTGCTTCAGAGTAGGTAATGTTTAAAAATAAATTCATTATTTGTATCATTTTTGTTCCAGTTTTTACATGAATGCATAGATGATTTGATAAAAAAACATGATATAAGTTTTGATAATTATAACAGTGGTCCTATAGAATGGACTAAAGATGACTTTGAAAAGGCAAAACGAAGTGTTCAATCATTCTACAAACAATGTGCCATAGAAAATAAATTCCAACTAAACTCTCAAAATTTGGAAGAAAATATTTATGAAGCTTTAGAGAGTTGCTATAATATAAGGAAAAAAGATATATTTCAGCATTTAGCCAAGTCTTATATTCTAAAAAATGGACATAACTTAATAGAAAATATAGATTGGAAGTTAAAATGGGTATTAGGGTCCTCTGATTTAACTGTGATAAAAGAACCTTATCTTCAAATTGACTTAAATGGTATTGAACTCTGTTCTGGAGAGATAAAAACTACTTGTCTTTCATTTGAAGCAAATTTGGAACAAGTAGATCAATTGATCAAAGAATTGGTAAATATAAAGGCAGATTTAAATGCAAAATAAATTATTGTTGAATGCTAAAAATTTATTGATGGTTAATATAAGAGATTATACTCTTTTTCTTTTATTTATACTTTATTATCATTGTAACATGCCATTTATATAATTATTTGCATGATAAAATATAAGTTTACTATGTATTCAAAGAAAGGAAATTGAAACTAGACAGGTAATGTTGTATTGAAAAGATCTTGTAATATTGAAAATACCAATAACATGCTACAAATAAATAGAGAAATTGTGCAAATCTATGTGGTTTTATTTAATGTCCTATTGACCAAATCTCATTTTGAGAAATAAAAGTAGAAAGCGAGATATGTAAAACACCTATACCACCTTTTTTGTGAACTTTTAAATGAGTGCTATAAAGTTAACTACAGTAGATCCCTTGTAATCTGAAATGCATATTACTATTAATTTACAGAAATGTGTGTGTGGATGACGAAAGACCTTTTCAAACAGTGGATTAATGTATGTTTTATGTCTTAAGTTAAAAAATGGTTGAAATATCATAATTTGCATCAAAAGGCGTTATTGTTTCTTGATAATGCTCTTGGTCATCTATCTTAGAAGAACTAACAACAGTGTAAATGCATCCTTTGGTTTTTGTTCTTTGTCAATCATGGAGTGCATTGTCTGTATCAACTATTACATCATCATGGAAAATAGTAAATATAAATAGATCATAAAATCATGACTTAGATATACTGTAAACATAATTCATATTATCTTTAAGGATACAAATCAATGAAAGTATTGAAGGTTATAATTTATCATGTTATCAAGGATGTTATAATTATTACGATTTTTTGTTTAACAGTGACATATATAGATGCAATATTACATAAAAGTTATTGATTTATTTAGCGCCTCACTAAATGTGTTGAGTTTTAAAATTATACATTTTTAGGTGATCTTTTATAATATGAATTAAACATTTCTCGTTTTCCACGTTGTTGAAAAGTGAAAAAAGAAATTTTGAAAATGTGATTTTCTTCATTTTAAAAATCCAATTGACTATAATATATATATATATATATATATATATAATATAATATATATATATATATATATATATATATATATATATATATATATACTCTAGTTCTATACTACAATTTACTATATTATAGTGAATTGTCATCAAGACAATAGAATAATTGTTCCATACACTATTCAAGCGCACAATAGCTTCTTTGTTTGTAAAAAAATGAAACCACTCAGTGTGCACTTGATAATTTCTTTATTGGGAAAATTATGGTTGGGTTAAGAAACAATCCTTTTACTATTTGAGAATTTATACAGTCAGATATGAGTATTTGAATAAGCTTTTTATGTGACTGCATCCTGTATTACAATACCTATTAATTTTTTATAAAAGAAAACATATAGTAAACATTAAAACTATTTTATGTTATGTACCAGATAGTAGTTTTATGTTTAAAAAAATATTTTTCGTTATTTCTTAATTCTTATTTTATAATTTTTATGCCAATTTGGAGGCCCCCACATATCAGAGCCACTAATTGATAATTGAGGCACTTTTTTTAATAGAGTTTCTTGGTATTCTTTATGTTAATTATAATGTGTTCACATGCACTTAATTGTTATTTATATCAATGATGTATAATACGTTATTTTTAACGTTAGTAATTTATATTACTAACCTAATAGTCCAGTCGCCATACAGCTCCAAATGACACTGACTCACTGACCTCCAAAAATCATATGAACAAGCTGAATTTTGCAGAAAATATTAATTTTGGGACCACAAAGAAGATATAAAAAAGTTTACCACTTTTACCCCCAAGCTTCCCCCTAATATTACCTCGCAGGGGGTGGGGAACGGAAAAGAATCGGTTTACCATGCAAGAATCTGTACACCATAGAAAAAAATATTTCAAATAAAAAATGTAGCCTAGATAATTTTAAACAAAAATGTTTATAAGCATTTTTTGTGTAGAATGCGTTCTCTTAGAAACAACGCTTGAATAAAATGTTCAATTAAATTAATTAAATTTGTATCAGCTCGACGGTAAAAATTCGATATCTTTTGATTCAAATGTCATACCGACAAAACTCAAGATACGTTTAAAGGTCGATTCAGACACATCAGTCACGTCTCGTCACAGTTCTGGCGCCGAACCGAACAATCCGTCATACCATTGATTATAAACCACTACCGCAGTGGTTTATAATCAATGGTCATACAAAATATTCTTTTAGAAATATCGCGCTGGCATTCACATTCATCAGTTGACGAACAGTTTCCCATCTGTCAGATAGTTGATAGTTCTGTGACCAAAGAGGACCGGTTCGGCGCCGAGACTGTGACGGGACTGATGTGTCTGAATCGACCTTAATGCAGATAAAAACGCAGAATTTAATTGTGTAAGTGTAGTTTATTGCAGAAGTTTTGTTTTTTTTTAAACGTAGGGGAAAGGAGGGCAAGATGACGATAGTAAGCTTAAAAAAATCCTAGAACTGATATTTTTCCTTGTATCGAATGCATGCAACTACAAGGTAATTGGCTGATAGTAGTACTTTACATATTAAAATTAGATTACCTAAGGGTTAATATTTCAAATTAAAATTTTAAAATTTATCTACCTATGTCATATTCGTCATCTTACCCTTCGTGGAGAGTAAGATGACTAATTGTGAAGGATAAGATGACAAGGTATGCCTATTCTAAGAAAAAAGTCAGTTATATACATAATATATATATATATATATATATATATATATATATAACAGTGTAGGTAAAATTTTATGGTCGGTATGGTAAAACTTAACAGGATATCTAACACAGATATAAAATCATATTTTCAGCGAATAGACAGAGATAACAATCATACTCCCCCTTAGTCTCCCCTCCATAAATCTTCTTGACGCCCATTTTGCCTGTTAAGGTCAATTCAGACACATCAGTCCCGTTATAGTCTCGGCGCCGAACCGGTCCTATTTGGTCACAGAACTATCAACTATCTGACAGCTGGGAAACTGTTTGTCAACTGACGAGTGTGAATGCCGGCAACATATTTGGATTAAAGAATATTTTGTATGACGGATTGTCCGATTCGGCGCAATCACTGTGACGAGACGTGACTGATGTGTCTGAATTGACCTTTAGTGAGACGATTAGTTCCGATCAGAGATATTTTACATATTCTGTGGTTCCGATCCTCATAAAGCTAAGAAACTAGAGGTGGGTCCTTTAGTTTTTTAAATTTTTATCGGAACCGTTTTTCGTAAACTGTAACTAGTTGATTGTTTACCAGTATTTAAATTATCGAGTACACAAACATATTGGCTATTATCGTTTATGTGTATAAGTATTGAAGTGAAAGAAACTAACGAAGAATATATTTATTATAACTTGAAAAATAAATTAAACAATACAAATAGTACTTACATTTACATGGACTTAAGTCATCTTTATCAGTTTCTTTTTCTTGTACTAGTTAATTTTCAATAGTATAATATTCTTTTTCTTTTTTTTTATATAAGTAACCAGCTTCAACCATCAACTAGTTGATTTTAACGAATTTAACCGAAAATTTAGAGTTTAACACGGTTTAATTAGACTGCTGCCATTTTTCTGGAAACCATAATTGAGAAAACATCGCTTTTAAAATTAGTGAAATTATTATTCAGTGGGGTCTAAAACAAAAAGTAAATTTTACAGTAACTGATAATGCCTCAAATATGGTCATAGCTATTAAATATGTTTTGGAATGAAAACATTTAAATTGTTTTGCTCATACGTTAAATTTATTGATGGAGGACGCACTTAAATGCTGTCGTGTACAAATAGATAAAATAAAAAGTCTTTTTTTTCGACAATTCGGCAAAAAACACATTTTAAAAAAGTACCTTATCTTCAGAAACGCTTTTAAAGTATCAATTACAACATATCAAAGATCCCAAACGGCCAATCCAAGACGTGGAAACTTGTAGAACTTCACCTATTACATGTTAGAAAGAATGACGGAGTTAGAAGAGGCAATCCGTTCCACATTGGTATCAGTTAATACAGACTTAGACCAAATCTAAATAATGAAGACTAGATTATTTTTTCGTAATTGTCCTAAATTTTACGGCCTTTTAAAGAAATAACAAGTACAATGAGTGGCCAAAAATACTTGAATGATAGTTCAGTGATTGTTCTGGTACGCTGCCTGCAAAAATCTTGCAATAAAATTTTAGCAAACAGTGGTAAACTGTTTGCTAAATTTTAGCAAACAGTAACCTTACATCCATAGTTAGTATCCGACGTAGTACGGGTTTTTATTACTAATTACGGGATAACTACTAATCTCGGGTTTAGCAAAAAGATTTAGAGGGATAGAATACAGTGGCATATTGTCATTATGTACGTTTATGGATTCACGATTTAAAGTGCAGGGATTTTCTGATAAAAATGACGCTAAAAAACAAAAGAAAGAGTTAAGAAGCTGGTTACTTCTATAATTAAAGAACAAGAAGATTGTACTATTGAAAATCAACCAGTATAAGAAAAAGAAACCGATAAAAGATGACTTAAGTCCATGGTGTATTTTTGATCAATTAATTGGACATGACTCATCTAAACGTACACCTGTAGCGAGAGTCCATTACAATGGTGGAAAAACCATCGCCATGTATCTCCTAACTTAACCACTATATTCATAAAGTATTGTAAATGTGAACACATGTTCAAAATCAGGTTTAATTTTAAATAAAAGAAAAACACAGTTAATAAGAAGTAAAGTAAAAAAACTTATGTTTTTTAAATGTCAATTTAGACGATTCGTGATTTAATAATAACGTGTAATGTAAACGTAGGTACGATTTACTATTTGTATTGTTTAGTTTTCAAGTTATAATAAAATCTTTTATTAGTTTCCTTCACTTCAATAAATATACAGATAAACGATAATAGCCATTATGTTTGTTTATGTAGGTAGTTTCTTACTTGAAACTACTATTAAAAAATCATAGTTACTTGTTTACGAAAATCGGTTTTGCGACGTCAATGACCCACCTCTATTCGTAAATACCTGTTTACGTTTTGATTCGGTGATTTGACCACGCGACACGCCACGTTGGCAAATAGTTTTGTACGAAGCTTTTTTATTTATATGCAGTTTAATATTTTTATTGGAAATAAGGCATAATGTCACTTTAAAATAAGCTTATTTTGATGTTTAGATTTTTAATTCGGAAATCGTTTTTAAAATACCAAACATTAAGAAATTT